CCACTACCATCTCACCTACTCCACTAAACCTAACCCACTACACCACTACCATCTCACCTACTCCACTAAACCTAACCCACTACACCACTACCATCTCACCTACTCCACTAAACCTAACCCACTACACCACTACCATCTCACCTACTCCACTAAACCTAACCCACTACACCACTACCATCTCACCTACTCCACTAAACCTAACCCACTACACCACTACCATCTCACCTACTCCACTAAACCTAACCCACTACACCACTACCATCTCACCTACTCCACTAAACCTAACCCACTACACCACTACCATCTCACCTACTCCACTAAACCTAACCCACTACACCACTACCATCTCACCTACTCCACTAAACCTAACCCACTACACCACTACCATCTCACCTACTCCACTAAACCTAACCCACTACACCACTACCATCTCACCTACTCCACTAAACCTAACCCACTACACCACTACCATCTCACCTACTCCACTAAACCTAACCCACTACACCACTACCATCTCACCTACTCCACTAAACCTAACCCACTACACCACTACCATCTCACCTACTCCACTAAACCTAACCCACTACACCACTACCATCTCACCTACTCCACTAAACCTAACCCACTACACCACTACCATCTCACCTACTCCACTAAACCTAACCCACTACACCACTACCATCTCACCTACTCCACTAAACCTAACCCACTACACCACTACCATCTCACCTACTCCACTAAACCTAACCCACTACACCACTACCATCTCACCTACTCCACTAAACCTAACCCACTACACCACTACCATCTCACCTACTCCACTAAACCTAACCCACTACACCACTACCATCTCACCTACTCCACTAAACCTAACCCACTACACCACTACCATCTCACCTACTCCACTAAACCTAACCCACTACACCACTACCATCTCACCTACTCCACTAAACCTAACCCACTACACCACTACCATCTCACCTACTCCACTAAACCTAACCCACTACACCACTACCATCTCACCTACTCCACTAAACCTAACCCACTACACCACTACCATCTCACCTACTCCACTAAACCTAACCCACTACACCACTACCATCTCACCTACTCCACTAAACCTAACCCACTACACCACTACCATCTCACCTACTCCACTAAACCTAACCCACTACACCACTACCATCTCACCTACTCCACTAAACCTAACCCACTACACCACTACCATCTCACCTACTCCACTAAACCTAACCCACTACACCACTACCATCTCACCTACTCCACTAAACCTAACCCACTACACCACTACCATCTCACCTACTCCACTAAACCTAACCCACTACACCACTACCATCTCACCTACTCCACTAAACCTAACCCACTACACCACTACCATCTCACCTACTCCACTAAACCTAACCCACTACACCACTACCATCTCACCTACTCCACTAAACCTAACCCACTACACCACTACCATCTCACCTACTCCACTAAACCTAACCCACTACACCACTACCATCTCACCTACTCCACTAAACCTAACCCACTACACCACTACCATCTCACCTACTCCACTAAACCTAACCCACTACACCACTACCATCTCACCTACTCCACTAAACCTAACCCACTACACCACTACCATCTCACCTACTCCACTAAACCTAACCCACTACACCACTACCATCTCACCTACTCCACTAAACCTAACCCACTACACCACTACCATCTCACCTACTCCACTAAACCTAACCCACTACACCACTACCATCTCACCTACTCCACTAAACCTAACCCACTACACCACTACCATCTCACCTACTCCACTAAACCTAACCCACTACACCACTACCATCTCACCTACTCCACTAAACCTAACCCACTACACCACTACCATCTCACCTACTCCACTAAACCTAACCCACTACACCACTACCATCTCACCTACTCCACTAAACCTAACCCACTACACCACTACCATCTCACCTACTCCACTAAACCTAACCCACTACACCACTACCATCTCACCTACTCCACTAAACCTAACCCACTACACCACTACCATCTCACCTACTCCACTAAACCTAACCCACTACACCACTACCATCTCACCTACTCCACTAAACCTAACCCACTACACCACTACCATCTCACCTACTCCACTAAACCTAACCCACTACACCACTACCATCTCACCTACTCCACTAAACCTAACCCACTACACCACTACCATCTCACCTACTCCACTAAACCTAACCCACTACACCACTACCATCTCACCTACTCCACTAAACCTAACCCACTACACCACTACCATCTCACCTACTCCACTAAACCTAACCCACTACACCACTACCATCTCACCTACTCCACTAAACCTAACCCACTACACCACTACCATCTCACCTACTCCACTAAACCTAACCCACTACACCACTACCATCTCACCTACTCCACTAAACCTAACCCACTACACCACTACCATCTCACCTACTCCACTAAACCTAACCCACTACACCACTACCATCTCACCTACTCCACTAAACCTAACCCACTACACCACTACCATCTCACCTACTCCACTAAACCTAACCCACTACACCACTACCATCTCACCTACTCCACTAAACCTAACCCACTACACCACTACCATCTCACCTACTCCACTAAACCTAACCCACTACACCACTACCATCTCACCTACTCCACTAAACCTAACCCACTACACCACTACCATCTCACCTACTCCACTAAACCTAACCCACTACACCACTACCATCTCACCTACTCCACTAAACCTAACCCACTACACCACTACCATCTCACCTACTCCACTAAACCTAACCCACTACACCACTACCATCTCACCTACTCCACTAAACCTAACCCACTACACCACTACCATCTCACCTACTCCACTAAACCTAACCCACTACACCACTACCATCTCACCTACTCCACTAAACCTAACCCACTACACCACTACCATCTCACCTACTCCACTAAACCTAACCCACTACACCACTACCATCTCACCTACTCCACTAAACCTAACCCACTACACCACTACCATCTCACCTACTCCACTAAACCTAACCCACTACACCACTACCATCTCACCTACTCCACTAAACCTAACCCACTACACCACTACCATCTCACCTACTCCACTAAACCTAACCCACTACACCACTACCATCTCACCTACTCCACTAAACCTAACCCACTACACCACTACCATCTCACCTACTCCACTAAACCTAACCCACTACACCACTACCATCTCACCTACTCCACTAAACCTAACCCACTACACCACTACCATCTCACCTACTCCACTAAACCTAACCCACTACACCACTACCATCTCACCTACTCCACTAAACCTAACCCACTACACCACTACCATCTCACCTACTCCACTAAACCTAACCCACTACACCACTACCATCTCACCTACTCCACTAAACCTAACCCACTACACCACTACCATCTCACCTACTCCACTAAACCTAACCCACTACACCACTACCATCTCACCTACTCCACTAAACCTAACCCACTACACCACTACCATCTCACCTACTCCACTAAACCTAACCCACTACACCACTACCATCTCACCTACTCCACTAAACCTAACCCACTACACCACTACCATCTCACCTACTCCACTAAACCTAACCCACTACACCACTACCATCTCACCTACTCCACTAAACCTAACCCACTACACCACTACCATCTCACCTACTCCACTAAACCTAACCCACTACACCACTACCATCTCACCTACTCCACTAAACCTAACCCACTACACCACTACCATCTCACCTACTCCACTAAACCTAACCCACTACACCACTACCATCTCACCTACTCCACTAAACCTAACCCACTACACCACTACCATCTCACCTACTCCACTAAACCTAACCCACTACACCACTACCATCTCACCTACTCCACTAAACCTAACCCACTACACCACTACCATCTCACCTACTCCACTAAACCTAACCCACTACACCACTACCATCTCACCTACTCCACTAAACCTAACCCACTACACCACTACCATCTCACCTACTCCACTAAACCTAACCCACTACACCACTACCATCTCACCTACTCCACTAAACCTAACCCACTACACCACTACCATCTCACCTACTCCACTAAACCTAACCCACTACACCACTACCATCTCACCTACTCCACTAAACCTAACCCACTACACCACTACCATCTCACCTACTCCACTAAACCTAACCCACTACACCACTACCATCTCACCTACTCCACTAAACCTAACCCACTACACCACTACCATCTCACCTACTCCACTAAACCTAACCCACTACACCACTACCATCTCACCTACTCCACTAAACCTAACCCACTACACCACTACCATCTCACCTACTCCACTAAACCTAACCCACTACACCACTACCATCTCACCTACTCCACTAAACCTAACCCACTACACCACTACCATCTCACCTACTCCACTAAACCTAACCCACTACACCACTACCATCTCACCTACTCCACTAAACCTAACCCACTACACCACTACCATCTCACCTACTCCACTAAACCTAACCCACTACACCACTACCATCTCACCTACTCCACTAAACCTAACCCACTACACCACTACCATCTCACCTACTCCACTAAACCTAACCCACTACACCACTACCATCTCACCTACTCCACTAAACCTAACCCACTACACCACTACCATCTCACCTACTCCACTAAACCTAACCCACTACACCACTACCATCTCACCTACTCCACTAAACCTAACCCACTACACCACTACCATCTCACCTACTCCACTAAACCTAACCCACTACACCACTACCATCTCACCTACTCCACTAAACCTAACCCACTACACCACTACCATCTCACCTACTCCACTAAACCTAACCCACTACACCACTACCACCTCCACTTCACCTACTCCTTACCTACTACACACTCACCCTCTTCTATATATAGGAATCATGAATCATTGTAATTGATATCAATATAAATCAATCAATAATACAATTCTCTATTTCTCTTTATACATTAAATTTCTACATGTGATAATCATAAAATTACTGTAGATCAATGAAGACATATCAATGTGTAGTGAAGTTATGGGGAAAAAGACAATTCGTTAATCAAACAAGAAGAAGAAGAAGAAATAATGGGCTTTGTGAAGCATCATCTTGGTTGTCACTTCTCTATATCTTTTACCTTCATTTCCTTGCGGATGTCATTTGCAAGAGAACTATTATCCCCCCGTAGAACCTACAAGGAAACAAATTGAATAGGTAAATACAATTCCATGAATCAAACATACAAATCATTGAAATCAAGCAATAACAATGGCTATTATATTCACACACAAACAACAAAAAAACAAAAAACTAATTTTATTTTGCTTTTTCAAAATTCAATTGGATTACAAAATTATTCTTTATTTTTTTTGACAAATTTGATGTGAAAATTGCTTTATTCTTTATTTTTGTTTTTCAATGTAGATTATTTTTTACAAAACTTATGTGAAAATTCAAAATCAACGGTCTATAACTATCACATAATGATTAATGGCTATTAAAGATCCACATCAATACATCTTTATTTTAAATTCAAAAATGGTTTAAAAAAGCTTTGAAACTTATCATGGCGTGATAGTATAGACCATTGATTTTGAATTTTCATGATGTGTTGCAATTTTATTAAATGAAATAGAGATCTCCATTACATCTATGAAATAGAAAGGATCAATATCTTATCAGGCATGAAAATTCCATGATCCAAAAAGTTTTCCCAGCAAATAAATATTTTTAAATACCTGTGCATCAAGAGCACTGTCCAAGACTTGAGGTAGCAAACGTGCGGGATGCCCCACCCTCACCAACTTCACTCTAATTAAAGGAATAGATAAAAAAAGTGAGTAACACAATGCAGGTCAGCATGTGTATGATCAGAGAAAATCCCTAACATGGCATTGAACTTGTAGTTGGCAAACATCACAATGACATTGACATTTGATAAGTTCAAGCTAACAAGCTCAGAGGGTTTGGTATAGGTACATAGATTTATATAAGGTTACTGAAAATCATAATCAACTAAATTCAACAAAACTACAGGTAAATTTTTTGTATAACAGGAATTTACAAACACAATAAGCATAGGTTCAATGAGTACAATCATAGAGAACACTTTCTCAGGTGAAGTGAGCAACACTTTCCCTTAATACAAAGGAGGCCCAATTAAAAAAGATGAATTAGGCCATATCATATCAAAGCCTAACTCAACAATACAGACCTCCAAGGTCTGTTACACAAAATCCTTTCAACTATCCAGCTATATGAATCCTATCGTCGAAATGTGAGGAATAGACATTGGTGAAGGCAAAAAAGAAAATGTTAAAGAAATATCAATTACTTAATTACTTAAACACACATGGATCTCTGAACTCATCAAATTAGGTCTATACGGCTTAATTAAAATTTAGAAAAGTGGACTATTGGACTTCCATCTAAGCTTCATTTACTAACATTCCTTTACATGAGATTGTCCCCCATGATATCAACCTGAAGAGTTTTTTCTAATGATGAAATGAAATCAATATACCTGTGAGGAACAAGTCGTTCAACAATGTTGTCAACGGCAATATTTGAAGCAGCACAAGCAAGAATCTTTGATCCACGTTTCACTTCTTGTAAGATAATTTCCACCACAGTTGTAGTTTTTCCAGTTCCGGGAGGCCCATGCAACAAAAATATGTTCTTTGATGATAGGGCCTTTGAAATGGTGTCTTTCTTGAAGCAAAAGAGAAATTGCTTTAGTGTGCGAAAATGAAGACATGAGCCTAGAAAACAAATGAATACAATGTTTAAGCAAATATTGATGCACATTTACCTAGATATACATGCAGAAGTTCAAATACTAGCTATGTTTATGAAGTAGATTTCCAACACAAAAGTACATAATATGAGAGCTACTTCATTTCAATGCCATAACATCTTAAACTTCACTGGCTTTCCATGCCCAATTATTCCACAGGAATAAGTTGCTACAGTGCTACACCATGGCAACACATACTCCCCAATGAAATCCTTAGTCAAAAGCATTTAACTTTAGCATATCTCATTGGATGCTAAAAAGGTTCAAAATCATTGCATATTTCATGGTCAAGAATGTTAAATGAACTTAACATGAAATGTACAAGTATCCCTAAGGACATTGTTACCATTGTTTCCCCATTCAGTTGAAGCACAACATATGCGTCTCGAAAAGGAAAAATTGAAAGCACTTTGAGTGGAATATAATTCTCTCAAATTAACCTAATCAATCTCCTCAAACTCTGCTTTAATTAACATTGTAACTATAGCGCTTTCTTGCAACACAGTGCATCTCAAGTACCAATAGATGGTCATGACCACTTAACATTTTCAGTTCTACAAGCTGAGAAGCTATTATACAAGTAACATTTACTAGATACTCTCAGTGCCAAACTTATTAACATTAGCCATTTTAACTTTTAAATTAGGGAAATGGACATGGAAATTTTAGTGTCTTCAACCCCCAAAAGATTATAATAAAAATGGACAAGGACGTCATTAATCTAGACCATCTTGCACCACAAAGAAAATTTACGTCAACCACACATGCTGTCCTCTATGAACCAATAAAAATTCCCAACCAATGGAAGCCGTGTGGGTATCCATAATCAAAAGGGTAAAAGATGATTGCATTAGTATTTAGCAATGAATTATCAATTGGAAGCAACAAGTTAAAAAAAAGTATTCCACAAAAAAAATAGAACAGCCATATGGTGTGAGAAAAAAACCATCTTAAATGTTACATTAAATAGTTTTGGATATAGCAACACCGATATATCAATATATATATGTGTGCATATACATATGCTAATATGTATATATATATATATAGAGGGAGAGAGAGAAAGACAGCATGCATTTAAATAGAAACAAAAAAAGCTTAAGGACCTGAGAGTGATCAAGATTGGTGTTAAATAGTGAGAAAGTAACATCCTTCTTTGACACTGTTGGCGGTCGCTCTCCAAATAGCACAGGAACTAAGTCGGCAGCAGGTCCCCTCAGCACTTCTTTACTTAGTTGAATCAATGTATCCTTCATCCTACGGTATGTCACCTACAAAAACAATTTAAATGCACAACATTCTTTGTTAGGCTTGTTAGAGTTTCAACCATTTTCCTTTCATGCTAAGCAAAAATATATATATATATATTTTAGAGATTTTTTTGTGAAAGCTATACCTCATTGGCCCCTTTCTCAAGACGTAAAGGACTATTTAAACCCTCCTCTGGGATATCATCAAAAGCAACAGTGATTGATGAGTCCTGTTCAATATAAAAACCAATTTACATCTCAATCAATTAAAAATAAGAATAAAAAATATATATATATATATATATTTTGCATGACAATAACCAGTACCATTAATAAATGCAATAACCCATATAGTGTTTCGAAGGCAGAATTACCTTCAGACGATAAACCACACCTTGACCCAGTGGAGGTGACCCTAGATCAGCTTTGTTTGGTTTTAAAACAACAACATCATGAATCCCAAACTGCAAGGGGAAGAAAAATACATTATTACTTATCAACTTCAGTTTCCATTAGTTACAAAAAAACAAACAGTAAGTATAAAAAATGAAGAAAAAGATTCTTGGAAGAATTATCAACTTCATAACATGTGACGAAACTGAAGAAGCAACCTTACTAACATGATTAATTCGACATGGCAAATCAATATATTGTAGCACACATCACATTATAACATGTAATAAATATCAAAATCAAAATAGTAATGAGTGGACATTAGACAGTCACCTTGTGGGCAGGAAGAACATCACCTTTAGTAGACTGAAACTCGAGAAGAGATTTTCCCATTAATCCTGTCTACGGTGAGAACAAAATCAACAAAATTAGAGAAAAACAACCCAACAAGTTAAATGATTTAAACCAAAAAAAAAAAAGAAAAAAGAAAGAAAGAGAGAAAATAAAGCAAAATAAAGAATGCACTACCTGAGCATCCACACACTTCAAATTAAGAATGGAGGAGCCTTTCTTCTGAGCAGCATCCAAAGTCCTTGTTGCTCCCGAAGTCATGGAAGCTGATATCTCAGCTTCCTAATACAGTCATACAAACAACACTATACAGCAATTTCTTTAAGTATTCTTCTTCTTGCACTTCGTTTTCACTATTTATAGTCCATAATTGTTAATTAAAACAACTAAACCCTAACCCATTTGGATTAAGCAATTTGATGAGAAATGATAAGAAGTGATGAGAAAGATAATTCTTTCTCATGTTTGATTTATAAATTAGATATATTAAAAAAATAGTGAGAAATGGTAAGAAATTGAGAGAAACATAACTCTCTTATTATGCCACTTTGGTTTCCCACCAAAAAAATGGGTAGATTTGGCGAGAAACCAAACTGGTTGGATACTTTTTTACCAACAAGATAACCTATCAAAACACAAAAGGAAGAAAATTTTCTATGACCCATATCCCAATCCCACATGTTTTGCTATCTTAACCCATCCAAACATGATAATAATGAGAAAACCACAATTACTTGTTTTCTCTATCAGGGCAAGAGCTAATTCCAAACGAAACGGGCTAAATCCTTAGCAGAGGCTACACAATTGAATGCATTTATTCGAAATACAAAACTCAAAGAGTTGAGGCGGACTAAGTAGAGAGCGATTAATTCAATGATTCAGAAGATAAAAATGCAAATGGAAGTTCCTGAATTCGGCGCATTTCCAGTAGGACTAAGATTAAAATGACATATTTGTGTGTAGCGGGAGAAAGAGGGGACCTTTTCGAGATCGAGTAGAGGGGCCATGGTGGAGACGAACTGTTCAAGAGACATAGCAGATGAATTCTTGCTACTGTTCTTCACCCGTTTCTCCACTTTTAGAGAGAGGGAAAAAAAAACATCACATTAATGATGGGCCCCACTCATTAGAGCTCTTAGTTTAGAGCTCTCAAACATTTTTGTAAGATCCTTCCCCCGTTTCCCCACTTTTAGAGAGAGGAAAAAAAACATCACATTAATGATGGCCCCACTCATTAGAGCTCTTAGTTTAGAACTCTCAAACATTTTTGTAAGATCAAATATATATTTTACATAAAAAATGATAATATTTTTTTTTATTTATATAATTAATAAATTATCGATGAAGATATAACAAAGTGTTAATATAATTATTTCAAATTTCTAGAACTAGTTATATTTTTTTCTAAATGTAGCATTTTTACTTGCTACTCTTGCTCAATATAAAATAGTAACACATATTCGAGTGAGTTATTTTTTATTCTTCAACGACATAATAAAATTGAGTCTGTATGCCTTAATAATTTTTTTTGTTAAATAATTAGTTTTAAAAATTCCATAAATAATATCACATAATATTAACCATCATTCTATATGAATTAGTAACATTTCATGCAATTACAAGTGCTATAGTCACAATCATTCTACACTTCTACAGCAGATGTTTGGTTAATTTTTTAAATTTTTATGGAAAAATGTGTATTAAAAAATTATATGAATTAGTGTATAGGGAAAAATTAGAATTGAGAGTTGTGCAGCCGTAATTTTTGACTTTTGGTGAATAGTGATAACTTTTTGAATAACTTTTTGACTTTTTTTACACTTCCCAAACTTGGCCTTAGTGTTTTTTTAGGATCCCATTTGTTAATTTTTTTATTACAATAATAATCTTAAATAAAATTATTAACAATGACATTAATAATTTCGAGACATTTCATTTCATAATTAAACTATACACGTATTATATCATGAATTAAGATTTATAATAGCACTTACCTCAATTACTTTCCATCCATCTTCTCCAAATCTTACCTTTAAAACCTACTTACCCTCAACATCTTGAAAATCCTTTGGCATCATTATTTCGACAGTAACAGTGACAATCATTTGATTACTTATTGTGTGAGTGATTTTCTGATCACACTGTCCGTCTAGTAATCAGCTAGAGAGTACTGGCAGAATAGATCGCTTCAGCTAACCTGCAACAGAAAGAGAAGGCTCCGGCGGTGGTTCTTCCACCCGGGCGCACTCCGACAAGCAAGTCAGTATATCTCTCAAAGATAATCAAGTGCTAAATTCACTGTTCTGAATACAAATTGCGTACCTTAGACCCGCCGGGAGTGCCTCTCTTTTATAGTTAGCTCAATCCTAGTCCCACTAGAAGCCTGACTTTTATGGACTTCAATTCTGGATTTACCTTGGACTCTTCAAGAGATAAGGATAGACTTCCAAGAGTCCTATCCTTACCTATCTTGAAGTCTTTTCTTCATTTCAGGACTCTTGTCCCTTATCCGCTTATCTCGGATTCCGATATCTTCGGAGGAAACCTCGGCCTAGACGAGATTACCTCGGCACAGCGATCAAGACACGTGGCACCTTGACTGACACGTCGGCGTCACCTTGCCACGTGTTGGTACTCAAAAAATATATCCCCACAACTGCCCCATAGGTTCTATTATCTCGGTATCCTGAGGTGATGGGACCTATATCGGTACTTCTTCCTGTACATCGGCTCAAAAACTCCTCAGCCGAGATCATTCATTTCAGGCCAACATGTCTTCTTTTAAGAACAAGAATTCTAATGAACTCCTTTACGCGCATGAGCTGTCACGCATCACTTTTCAACCGTTTCATTTATGCGTTTTAACTCCATTGGACCGTGCTAATGACGCGCTAAATATCCGTCGTGTGCCTGTGTGCGCCGTCTGACGTATGCACTGTTCCAGGCGCATTAAATGCTCTGTTTGCCGCCGTTTCAAGTTTTTGACAAAACTTTTCCTTCTCTCTTCTTTTCTGCACTTTTGCATTCGATTCACTTGCCTTCTCTCTCTCTAAACCCTTTCTCTCGAATCCGCCATTGCTCAAGCTCCAAGCTCTGCAATCGTCTTCATTCGTCCTTCTGGTGAAGCTTCTGCTATTCTGTTACTTTTGTAACCATCGTTTGACTTCGGCGAACCTCATTTCGGCCTTACTTCTTCTGGTAAGCTACTGTTTCCTTCGTTTTCAATTGCTTGATGCTCTCCATCATTTGTTGCCATTACTGCTTTGTTCAATATTTGATTTGTGAACCATATATCTGAATGTTTTTATTCCATGATTTTGCTTTTGCCCAAATCTTGAACACATGCACTGTTCCACCACTTTCTTGATTCTGAAACTCCGTTCTTGCTTTTCTGTTTTCCAGATTTGTGCCTTCCATCTTTGTCTTCATAGATTTAGGTTTGGGATTTGACTGTAGAACCCATCAAAACCAAAACAATCTTCACAAATTCTTGCACCAATATAGACTTAGGTCTTATCCGAGGTTCACAAAACCTTTTTAGATCATCTCTTTCTGAAACCCAGTCTTGCTAACTTTAGGCTGACGTTATGGGTATGTGGAGGCACAGGGTAGACACCCTGACTAAACTTGAGTACTTTAGGCAAGAGTTCTCTATCCTTGCCGATGTCCATCTGAGGCTGGCTGGAGATAACGACTCCATCATGCCCACAGATGATTCGATGCCTTTCTCCATTGTAGCTTTCACTGAGTGCGGACTCCAGCTCCCACTCAACATCCTTTTTCGTGAGATTATTCACTATTATAAGTTGAACCCAATGCAACTGGTAATCAATTCCTACCGAGTGATCAATGGCATCATAGCCTTAGCTAAACAGGGAAATGCTAAGATCACCCTAGCCGATATCTAGTACTGTTATACCATGTGTGCCCTTAATTTGAAAGAAAAAGGCTACATTTATTACCTTAAGCCGAGGTCTACAGAATTCAAAATCGTACCCGACCTCCCAGACTCCAACAAGGGGGCTGGAGATGACTATCTCATTACCTCGAGAAATTGGGAGTTTGCACCATACGAGGACATCCATCTCTACCCTCTTCCCCGATCAGTTTTAGAGGGCAAGGGTAAGAGCCCAGTATTCATCTTTGCCTGTTTTCTTTCGAAGTCTTAAATACTTTATTTGTTTCTGACGTCTGTTCTTCCTGCAGCTGTTCGTCAGCCACCAAAAAATTTTCGGCAATCCTTTGTCCCCAGCAAAGACTTGAAGAAACTTCTGGACTTGCTAGTCCATAAAAGGAAAGCGCATGTGCTTCTCAATTTTATTCCATCATACAAGTCAACTTTGCCCGACGTTTCCAAAAGGAAGAAGAAAAGCCTTTCTCCACCCTCTGCTACAACTCCATTGACTGTATCCACATCACGAACAGATCAAGGATCAACATCTGATCCAACTGATCAGCCATCAACCTCGGCTCCATACTTGGTCCCGATATCAGAATAAAAACGTCGGCGACGACTTGTCCTTACTGCCAAGATGGGCCACCCAAAACCAGTTACAAAAGATCTTCTGGCCAGCATTCCATCATCTGTTGACGA